AATGATACAGCAGTCCCCCCTGGCATCACCCAGTATCTATGTACTGAGGTGAACAGAGGCAGCACAACCCTTGGTGCCTTGTTTCACGTGCCACTAAGAGTAACAGGGGCATAAAATCCCCCACGTGATGGGCATTTCTGGAGGCTCCCTGTTGCTCAGAGGGTTCCAGGTGGGGACAGGGCAGCAGCACCTGCACTGGGGAGAGGCCACACTGCAGAACAGGGAGATGAAGATTCCAAAAGTGTCAACCACATCACTGAAGCAACTCTCCTGCTTCTGGAGTTCAAGGGTCATTCATCACCCTGCACTGGGCTCTGCCGACCCCTGGACGGCCATCCCGAGCGCCTCATGCCGTCAGCAGGGTCATGGCAGGAAACGTGTCCCTGGATAATGCCCAGCTCAACTTCTGCCAAGGATTCGTAGCGCTGCGGCGGGTGAGCCCTTCCAGCCGAGTGCCACCGGAGGGAGCCCCAGCAAAGGGAATGAAGGCTCACGGGAGCTCCTGCATACATCTAAAGCAGTGGCTTTCACCCGGGCATCCACTCCGAAGTCAGGGGATTATTTCGTGGGGCTGTCAAAGAAAGCAAACCGAGAGCGGCACTGTCTGCTGTCAGGAGGCGTCCATCGCTGCACGTCAGGCTCCTTCTTTACCAAGCCACAGGGCACAGTGATGCAGGAAAGATTTAGAGCACCTATTGAGTAGCTGAGTATCTGTGCCACAGCCTGTTCACCTGCACTTCTTACCCACACCTGGCCCAGGAGAACTCCCTGGAGTTGGGGGAGGTTTGTCTGGCACAGGGAAGCAGCAAGAAGCCTGTTGTAGGTGTAGTGTCCCTTGCCTTTCTTCAAGCAGTCATGACTGGGCTGCTTTCCTAAACAAAACATCCTCTGTAAACATATTTCAGGATAAATCTGGCATGATCCCTGTCTTTGTGAATGTGGAGCTGTGAGCAGAGTTCAACTGCAGGCAGTAAATTGAATGTGCAGTAGGTTCCCCCACCCCATGACAACAATTTGCTCTGATATTCCTGCTCTGGTTCCCTGGCAGAAACACCTCCTATTTTTAGACTTAATATCTACTGATAAAAAAGCTCCGCTGTGAGGGTACAGTCCCGTGACGGGCTTGAGCTGAACAACTTTGCTGCTACAGAAAGGGAGAAGCCTTCTGTCTTCCTCCTTCTATCCTCCCTGATTTCCATCCCTCCTCTCACCCTGTGCTCCCATCTGTGCAGTGCAACTTCATTTCCCCTTGCAAATTCTGATTGCAAGATAAAATGATTCAGTTTGGCCATTTGAGCCAGTTCAAGTAGCTTACAATGCAGTCAGGCAAGTATGAGAGATGGAAAAAAAGAGGCACTGGGAGGGGTGGAGGGAAATCTGCCCCTTATACTGGGGCTGAGCTCATGTTAGCCAAGCTCCTGCCGCACCAGAAAACCACAACCAAATGAAGCCAGCTGGAGCCAGGCTGAAAACAAACAAAATTATGAGACAGATACAGCAGATCTGCAAGCTGCTGTCACATGCACAGAGCCTGTATGGGCTCAAGGGGCACCAGACAAGTCCTTGGAGTAGAGATATAACAAAAGGTTTCCACCAAACTCTCACTGTTGTCCTCTTGGTCCTCTGACTGCCACAAAGTACCTGGGGGCAGCAGGCAATACCTGGAGAATTTTTCCAAGAGTACTCAGAAAGGTCCAAAGATGACAGATTCTCCCACAAAATGCTCCATCCAAACTGCCTGGGACAGCACAGAGAGGAATTTTCCTTGAAGGAGTATCTGGATTTGCTTGTCAGATGGATTTTTGATTACTTCCCAGACAATTCTTTCAGCCCTCGGGGTATGCAACAGTGGGGAGGTGGATTAGGGACAGCCCTGGGGCAGCACATCTCAAGGCTGGGGAAAGAGGTCTGTCTGAACCACCAAGGCTGTTCTAAATTTTTATCCTGATTCAAAACATCTGTCCATCTTGATGCTGGGAAAATCACCTGATTTCTCTATCTCCTTTGTAAAGAGAATAGGATGGCACTTTTGTCTAGCTTGTAAACCCCTCTGGGGATGGAGAGAGGGCTTTTTATAAAAAGGAACTGCCATAACCATGGTGACCTCAGATGGCACAGCAGCTTGCTGGACCAAAATGCTGTGGCACTTTGTGTTGAGCTTGAAAGCCCTGCAGCTTTATTAATTTTTCCTGGTTTACAATTGTAAATCTCTCTCTAACAGCAATAGTTAACAAATCAGCAGCGTTCCTAATCAGGGTCTCAAAAACTCTCCAAGGAAAAGTTTCCCGAAGACACACAGATCTGGCAACTATGCTCAGCAGTCTGTGCTAACTGACTCAGCATTTCTTCTCCTCTTCCCTGCCATTCATCCCACCCCACTGTCTGCCCCTCAGACCAGAATAGTTCAATTTACCTCCACCCACAGCATCAAAGCAGGGCCCTCACACCCCTGACGGTGATCAGTGCTCGACTGTGAGTGACCTGGAGGCCTCCGAGAGGATCTGTCCCCCTGTGCTTGGTGGCAGAGTCCTTCATGCTGTGCTGTGCTGCATTTACAGGGGTTGCTATAATTAAGGAACTTTGATAAGATCTGCTTATATAACCATGGTGATTACTGAAGCCTAGGCATGGAAGTAGATTAGATGAGATTACCAGCTACAGCTCTGCTCTAATGTACATGAGCTGCCTTCTCAGATTAATTTTTTGACGTTACATCTTAAATTGGTTCTCTTTCCTCAAGGTCATGCCGTGTTCCAAGAGGTGTCAAGCAGAGAGCTGGCAAAATTGTACAAAGGGATTGCTGGCTGTGGGTCACTAATTATCCCTCCATATGCACTGTTAGAAAAATCCCTTTAACCTGAGAAACCAAGTCCTGTGCGCTGGCCTGGAACTCCAGGTAATTCTTTAATTAATGCAGAGTTCTGGGCACTGGCAACAAGAAAGTGCTATTTTCCAGTGAATGCACTAAGTACTTTATGTACTGACCCCCCTGGATGTGTTTCTGTGTTTGCTTCATTACTTTTTCTATATCCAAGCACTGCTGTCTTTTGTTTCACAACCATTTTTTTCCCCTCACCTTTCCTCCTTGCTCTAGCTCTCTTAAAAGTGGCTGCTTCCCTCTTTATTTTTTCTCTCACCTCTTTTACCTCCAAACCAAATCTGGGCAGCACCATTTTGTCCTTGCCACTTTTTAGCTGATATCCAGTGATGACACTGGGCCTTAAGAAGGCAGAGCAAAACAGGAGGGTTTGTGGCATCGTAAGATTTCTGCTTGTCACATTCAAGGGCATATTTCCAACATGGGAACAGCTGGTTTGTTTTCTAATGGCATCTCCAGGTCAAGTTACTTGTCTGTGAAACGTGGATCTCAGGGTCAGCAAGGCTTCAGCACAACAACTGACTTACAGGGTGCAAGTTAAAGATACTCTCTGGAAAATGCTTCTTACCCTCAGCAATATACCAGAGAAAGGGAAATCTAAAGTGAATGGGGTCTTCACAGGATAAGGTCTGAGAACCCAGTGCACTTCAAATATTCAAAACATATTTTAATTCCTAAGGAAAAGTATGCTTTGATTCCTCAGGAAAAATATATTTTGACATATTTTACCTGAAGGCTTTAACAAAAACACTAAAGCAAAAATCAGCACAAGTTTGTTGGAAGTAGCAGGGAGGAGGTGAGTGAACCTTGCATCCCAAAAGAGAATGTACAGAAATAGCATGGAAGGACATAGAGCAGTGCCCAGAGGACTGTCCCTGTCCTGTGACAGGACACAGCATTCTTGAATCAGCTCAATCCAAATGAGGAATTACAGGAGGTGTAAGGCTGGATGCGCCTTGGAGCAGCCTGGGGTAGTGGAAGGTGTCCCTGCCCACAGCGGGGTGTTGGAACCGGATGATCTTTAATATCCCTTCCAACATAAACCATCCTGTGATTCCATGAATATTCCTATGGACTTCAAATGGGGTTGTGGCACTACAAAGCATACTGGGTAGTGCTTCATGGAATTCCAAAATATCTAAGGGATGAATTTTACTTGTAACGCACTGAGCTCTCAGTCTTGAGCAAAGCAAGTAAGTTTCTTCCACGATGTGATTTTAAAACTGGAGCACCAGCCCTGTTGCAAGTGGAATCTGTTCCATTAAAAAAGGGTGATGTATAGTATTGGAATCTTCCATGTTCATTGCTATTCTGTTAAAAAAAATTCCCTTAAAAAAATTTTCAGTTCACCGGGTTCAAACTTGCAGCTTATGGCTCACAATTCCACAAGGCTTCCTTAAAAAGAAATGAACAAAGAATTTGGTCCTACCCTGCACCAAAAAATGATCAGAAAGAGTCTGATCCTACCCTGCACAAAAAATTATCAGAAAGAATTTGGTCCTACCCTGCACCAAAAAACGATCAGAAAGAATTTGGTCATACCCTGAACAAAAAGTTATCAGAGAGAATTAGGTCCTACCCTGCACAAAAAACAAACAAACAAACAAACAAACAAAACCAAAACCAAAACCGCACAACAATCAAAGAATTTGATTGTAACCTCCACCAAAAAAAAAAAAAAATTAGAAAGAATTTGGTCCTACCCTCTACAAAAAAAAGTGATCAGAAGAAGTTTGGTCCTACCCTGCACAAAAATTATCCGACAGAATGTGGTCCTACCTTGCACAAAAAAACGATGAGAAAGAATTTGGTCCTACCCCTCCACTCTAGTTTATACGAAAGTTTTACTTTGCAGCTTTATTCAAATTTTTTTACATAAACCCCTTCGGGGTTTTTTTATTTAAACCCCTTCAAGGTGCACCTTCCCCCTCCTTGGAGCAGATCCCTTTATTCCACCACTGTCACGAACCCCAGGACAACCCCGACCCCTCAGCGCCCACGGCGCGGGGGGCGGGACTCGAACCCGGGACCTTCCGAGTCCGTCCCCGCCACCGCCCCTGCGCGCGCCCCGCCTCCCCCTCCCCTCAGAGCGGCGTTTCCGGCGCGGCCGCTGTGACGCGACGGCGGCGCCGGGGCGGTGCGGCGGGCGGGCAGGGCGGGCGGTGGGAGATGGCGGAGTACCTGGCCTCCATCTTCGGCACCGAGAAGGACAAGTGAGTGGCCCCCATCCCCTCCTCCCCCGCGGCTCCGGTCCCCCCCCCCTTGCCCCGCGGGGTGGGGAGGGAGCCGGAGGGGGAGGCCGGAGGCCCGTAGCGGGTTGCGCGGGGGCGCGCGGCCTTGTTCGGATCGCGGGGGGCCCAGCCCTTGCCTTCCCTCCCCCCCTCCCCCCCCCCCCCCACTTTTCCCTGCGGGGGGAACGCCCCCCGGCCCTTTTCGCTCATTCCCGGCCTCAGCGGCACCGCCGGGGCTGGGTTTCCCCGCCATTCCCAATCCCGCTGGAACGCGGCGGGAAGAGAGAAGCGAGAGGCGGCCGCGCTCCCCACCCCCTTTTTCCCTTCCCCCCCCCCCCCCCCCCCCCCCCCCAGGCTCTTCCCCCCCCCCCCCCCCCCCAGGAACGCGCGTGCGCGCGGCGCGCGCCACCCGGGCGGGGGGAAGGGGAGGAGGGGGGGGGGGG